GCTGTGCGGAGAACTGGCGCCCCCGACCGCAGTCGCGGCGCCAGCAGCCTGAGGGAAGTGCTGTGACTGGACGGCCGAGACCCCCAGTCATATGCACCCCCCTGGGACGAACCCACAGGCCACCGCGCCGGAGCGGGGCCGTCGTAGCCGAACCACCGTAGCGGGCCTGCATACGCTCGCTGGTTATCCAGGGGAGACTCCAAGGATCCAAGACATCCAGCCTGTCGCCCGGACAACACTTGCTAGAAGAATCCTCTGAAAAAAATCAGGAAGAAGCAGGTAAGAATACCGAGGAAAATTCTTAGCTCCTTACTCCTGACGTTAGGCAAAAAACTGGAGACTTCTCAGTAGGTGGGGGGTTTGGCCACCGGCAGGGGCCGCCCCTAGGCTGTAATTGGTCTTTAGTTTTTTTGTGCCTAGCGTCCTTCTCCTGCAGGTGGCGATATTACCCTACAGTACATGATCTCCGATCTGTTCCCTGTGTCCTTCAATGAACGGGAGAGAAATGCCTTGTGCTGATTTATAACAGCCAAGGCTCCAGTAATCTCAACGTAAGCCACAATAGAAATTCCCTTGGCTCTGAATTGAGCCAATACTGTCAGGATGTCGGTGAAGACCCTCAAAACTGTGGCTAGGTCAACGGGTAACTCCACAAACTGGAAGAGAAGTTCCCCAACTGTGAAGCAAACATATTCATAATGTCAGGTGTAGTTTCATTTTGGAAACAGTTTGAATAAACATCTCTAGGAACGCTCCTGAAACTACAACTCCCTCACAAAAATGTCCACCACTAGCAGACCAGCATTTAAGCCAAAAGCTGCTAATGCAGATTAGGCAACCTGCATCCAGTGAAGCATCACATAGGGACTTGTTGGCTTGCACCGGACCAAAGAGGTTGTCAGTAATTGGATATGCAGAGCCCAATAGCAGGGTCACACACCTTGGGATAGCATACTCAGGAGTTGAATCAGGCACAGATTTCAAATACGTGGTACAAAAGGGTAAATCCAATAATCATAGTCAAACGAACAATAAGGTCACGGCAGGCAGCAAAGGATCAGAGTCGATAAATGTAGCAAAGGTCAGGTAACGGGAATCACACAGCTAGCAACTGGAACACACTGTGGATAGCTCTGAAACAACTGAACACTCTCTCTCTGTAACCTTCCAGCTTTACAGCAATCAAACAGGAAGTGATGTCAGGAGGTGTGGCAGAAGGGATGCAATTCCTGTCTATAACATGAAGCACTCCAGTGCTGCCATTTTGATGTAAGGATGCCATTAAACATGTGCAAGAAGCCTCACTATTTTCATGCGGGGAAGTTATAGGACACAATTTACTGACAAGAGTGTCAAGTACCGACATGCTGCGAGTGCGAGGGCCCGTGCAATTGATAGTCAAGTTGAGAATTGTGACAGAGGTGTAGAAGAGCTCTCTCCATGTTCAGGTCCTGATGCAGGTCTCTAGCCCATTTGGTTGAGGTTTGGTCACCCATATGTAGGCAGACATTACCCGAGAGAGAAACCTACCGCAGTAAACAAAAGTTTACAAGTTGCTGTGTCCCTAAGAGACAAAATATCTTTTTACAACCTGACCAAATGTGCAAAGTTACTAACTTACTGCCTTACTATGGCTAAACACCAGTGGGTAAACTGCATTGACCACTTCTTTAACAGATTCAGATAAGCGATAAGTGTTGAAGCAGCTAAGGAAAGAAAAAAAGGACTTTTCCGTGCATTTCCACTCAATCAGGAGGTGCTTAAACTCCTGCTGATCTCAAAATATGTTAACTGTTGCAGCTCCAAAAACTGAGCTTAGTAGACATTACTGTCAGTAGTGGCTGAGTGTCTCAAGCATGCAAAATGAGACTCTCGGCTGTCTGTTTAAGATGTGAAGATTTGGTGTCTTCACTAAAGGAAGACTGCACATCTGCATGAGATATATGCACAGCAGAGAATCTTAGGGTTTTCCAGGTAAGGATTGGAATCATAGGGGGCAGTGGGGTCAGAGAGGATCTCTTGTGAGAGCCAGGGCCAGGTGGCCATTCAAGAACCTGCATAGCACTTTAGACAGCTGACACCGGAACCTCACCACCATGGCTGGTAGTTGCGGAGTCCTAGATTTTACCCTACAGATTGGTCTTGCAAATATAATTGCATGACTAATCTGGCAATTATTAATTGCCAGATTAATTCTGGCAGAATCCAATTAATTATTAATTCTGGCAGAATCCAGTAAGCCCATAAATTTCTGTATTGAGCAGACAATGGTGCATTAAAGTCTCAAACAATGCCATCAGCCCTGACCAGCTCCCTATGGTATGACCTATGTGATGGGGATAAGGAGAGGGGAGGTGTTCTGTAGTCATAACATGTCCTGTCCTAGGGTGACAATGCTGCTCCTCCATAGCTACAGTGCAGAGAGTAAGCAATGTCCCCTAAAAGTGTTCTACTTTCAGGATCACCAAGTGAAAATAAAGGTAAAAAAAAAAAGGTTAAAAAAGCAAGAATGCTGCAATATATAAAATAAATGTAAACTTAGCTAAGAAGCCTTTGGAAAGATATTTACAGATACAGTTTTCAATTTCCAGTGATAAAGTGAATTATGCTAAAATCAGAAATGATGTTACCTTTAGGGTATAAGCAAATCTTAGTACAAAAAAACGAGGGTTAACCCGTTAAAAGATAACGGGTTAGTAGCGGGCAACTTAAGGATCCGGGCACGTCAACCGATTGTAGAAAATATATAATTTTATTGAAAAAACCACACACTATTGCACATTAGATTCACCAACTACCATAGCAAATCTTAGACTACATCCCACCACTATAGCTGACCTAGTGATAACGTGATCTGGAATCATGCTGACTGGTTTCTGATTAGCATCAGTGACCCAAGCTGTCTGTCACAGCAGACTCAAGAGACCCTACTGCATTGGTGGCTCTCAAGGAAGAGAGCATTTATATACACAAAGCTGGGCAGAAGGGGGTTAACACAGCATAGCTTAGATTTCCCTTAGATTGTACTTTAACTGTGACACCTCTACAACAGTAAAATGCTTACAGAAGAAGTTAAACATTTGAATGCATTTAGTGAGTACAACACGAATTTTGGGGAAAAAAAACCTCTTACCTAGCATTAGTTTATCCCCATCACTGTTTTCAGTTGAAGACTCTATGCAACTCCAAAGCTCTTCCAGCAAAATTCTAATTTTTTCTTAACACAAAGAAAAAATATTAAGTACTAGTTATTATGATTATGTGATCAAAACACAAAATAAATAAATCCAATCACGATTAGTTCATCCACCATAATTAGACGTAAACTTATTAAACATATTAGCAGCAGCTGTGTAAACAACCTCCCCTAAGGGATGTACAAAAAGTTACTTAATTAGAAACTCACAGAATTAGTTAGAACTGATAATGTGTATAACATTTAGGGGTCTATTTTAGATTTAAAAATTCAGATATTCCTCCAGTGACAATGCATGTACATTCATTCTGTGCAAAATAACCAGGTGCTGGAAAAAATGGGGCAAAATCAAATGCACTTAGGCTGGGTTTGCATTTTGACGCGCTAAAAAACGTCCTACGCCCGAAAATAGTACAGGAGCTTGGGGCGGATTTCAGCGCGTATCCATTGGTATTCCCCACTGTGGCTCACGGTTAACAAAGCAGTTTCATTGGACAAAAAACGTGCTTAAAAAAAGGGCTTAAAAAACGCACCTATCAGGAACGCCAAGGTGTGAACCCAGCCTTAGGCTATTTGCTCTTCTAATGCCATTTGACTAAATACAATATCTAATTAAAACTTAACTTTCCCCTATTAAAATTCTCATTACACAGGTATCTCATCAGGGGTGTGGAAATTTTAGAAAAAACTACTTGTCCAAGGACTAAAGTGGGGGCCCGATCTACTTGTCCCTCGTAACAATCTACTTGTCCTGATGCAAAAAAATAAATTTTAACTAAACCGTATTTAGCAGTGCTAAGAAGCGCTTCTCATTGGTCAGCGTCATCAGGTGGCCGCGTTGACCAATGAGTGCTTGCAATTTGCGAGCGAAATTCACAATATACGGAACAGGTACAGATAGTACACCCGTACTGGTGGATGTCCCCCCCGCTCTGTCATTGCTCCACGCCCCCTAATCGCAGCAATCCCCGCTCTTGCCGCTCAGTTAAAAAAAATATATAAGTCAGCCCTGCTACTTGTCCGTAGCAGGGCTAAAACACTGAAAAAACCACTTGCCCGGCGCCCGGAACTACATGTCCCGGGCGTCGGGCGATACGAATTCCACACCCCTGCTCATGCAACAATATTTTTGTATTTCTGAAGAGAGAAAACAAATTAGCATTATTTTTTGGTGAAAGTATATATTTTTTTAAGTGTTGATTAGTATGGTGAAGGGTTAAGGTCTAGGTGCCATTTAAATTCCATTATGTCTCATGCAATTTGTCTTTCAAAAATTAAAAAGATATTGAATGATCAAGAACTTACTTTTATCTAACTTCAAAACTGGATGATCATTAGCAACTTGGGTTTGTGCATTTTTCATAGCTGAAAAGAGTACAACATGAGATTAGCAGACAACCAACAAACTAAATACATCTCTCACTACAGATCTGCCTTCCTTTTGAAAAACTCATGTGACGAAACACGTCAAGGGGCAGATCTGTTTGGCATGTGGGCTTCATCGCATAATGTTCGTTTTTCTGGCCTCGAATTTTAAAGTCTTTCATGTAAGTTGCTATTTTTAATAACATTTTTGTTTCTACTGTACTGCACCAAGAGAGTCTTTGTCCATTAATCCCTTTAACACATCCCGGAATCGAGAGAGCTGGGGGACTGCTGAACTTGAGCCAGGAAAAGCCGCCATATATTTCACCTGAGAGCGGGCCGGTTCTTAAAGGAGAACTATGAGGCGAGTGCTTTTCACTCATCTCATAGTTCTAGCCGACCTGTGACAATGAGACTGTCACAGGTCGGCTCAGTAGATCGGGAGGTGAGCGAACATATACCGGCGTTCGCTCACCTCTCGATCCTGTCACAGCTCTTTGCCGTGACAGAGAGGGGCTGGATTCCCCCCTCCCCGCTCCGATCCGCCAGCGCTGACTGGCGGAACGGACGGGGGCGGGTACAGCTGGCTCTGCCTCTAGATAGGCAGAGCCAGCTGTCACTCACGCAGCTGGGCGGATCTCGGCATCGAGCGCAGTAGCTCGCGGTATACTGAGCTTAGGGTGACGGGAGGACGCTAGTTTGTGTCCTCCCGTTACCCTGAGAACTATGGGGAAAAGCCCTAACCCCATAGTTCTCCTTTAAGGGAGAGACGGCTCCTTCTGTACAGGCTATACCAGCAGGAGAGCGGCAAAAGCTTTTACAAGGGAGATCGTGGACCAGCAAATTTTCTCAATTCACAGGCGCTGTGTGTGCTCACTGGTGAGTATCTGGTGAGTACCCATTTTTTGGGGGGTTGCCTGGCGTAGAAGAGGAGAACGCGGAGGAAACTATTTCACCATTTTCATGTGCGTTACTGAACTTCTCATTGTCACTCAATTTATTGTCACAATTTAAGACTGTCAGTTTCACTTCTGGATATTTACATTTAGCACTTAATGTTTAGCAAAAAAGAGGAGATCACGGAGGAAAATTACTTCACTTTTTATGTGTGCTATTGCAACTTTTCCCTGTCACTCGATTTATTGTCACAACTAAGATTGTGTCAATGTATCACTTTGTATATTTATAATTAGTACTTATTTGAATTGTTACATAGTTACATAGTATTTGAGGTTGAATAAAGACATTAGTCCATCAAGTCCAACCTATTAGGATCTCATTCTAGGAGTACCTGTACCCCTGTATATTACCTGTACCCCTGTATATTACGGTCCCTTAAGAAATCGTCCAAAAGTTTCTTGAACAATTCCACATTATTTGCTGAAATCACCGCCTGTGGCAGTGAGTTCCAGACCCTAACTGATCTTACTGTGAAGAACCCCCTTCGCCCCTTGTGCTGGAATTTTTTTTCCACCAATTTTAGGTGATGGCCTCTAGTTTTTGTAACGGAGTTAATTTTAAACAGTTTATCGCTAATGTTGCTACCACCATTGAACATTTTGTACATGGAAATCATATCCCCCCTTAATCTCCTCACCTCTAATGTGAACATGTTTAAATTTAGTAGCCTTGTCTCGTAGCTCTGGTCCTCCATACCCCTAATTAGTTTGGTTGCCCTCCACTGGACTTTTTCCAACTCAAGGACATCTTTTCTTGGTACTGGTGACCAGAACTGGACCGCGTACTCCAGATGAGGTCGAACCAATGATCTATAAAGTGGCAAAATTATAGACTTGTCCCTGCAATACATCCCCTTTTTAATACAGGACAAGACCCTGCTAGCTTTGTTTCCAGCAGCCTGGCACTGCAAACTACCTTTCAGTTTGTGGTCTACAATGACCCCCAAATCCTTCTCCATTTCTGACTTCCCCAGCGGCATACCCATAATTGTATAACCCATTTGTTTATTTTTAATTCCAAAGTGCATTACTTTGCATTTATCGACATTAAACCTCATCTGCCACATTAATGCCCACTCCCCTATTTTATCCAGGTCCTCCTGTAATGTTATAGTGTCTAAGTCCGTGTCTATTACCCTCCCTATTTTGGTGTCATCCGCAAACACGGAAATATCGCTGTTAACACCCTCCCCGATGTCATTAATAAATAAGTTGAACAATATGGGACCCAGCACAGAACCCTGAGGCACACCGCTCATTACACTAGCCCAGTCTGAAAAGGTGCCATTTACAGATACCCTCTGGACACGTTCCCGTAGCCAGTTCTCTATCCACGTACACACCACCTCATCTATGCCCATAGCCCTCAGCTTGTGTAGCAAGCGTTTGTGTGGTACCGTATCAAAAGCCTTTGAGAAATCCAGATATACCACATCCACCGGCTTACCTCCGTCCATATCTCTACTTACCCCCTCATAAAAAGTTAGCAAGTTAGTTAGGCAGGAACGGTCTTTCCTGAACCCATGCTGATTGTCATTAACTATCCCGTTTTCCTGAACAAATTCTACCAGATAATCCTTTATTATGCCCTCTAGCATTTTACAAACTACCAATGTTAGACTGACCGGCCTATAGTTGTTTACGGAGGGTGCTCCGGTTGTAATTGTTATACGGAGGTTGCTCTTTATATTTTTGGATTGATTGGTTCTACTTTTATTAATTTATTTTCAAAAAGGTTCACTTATTAGGATTGAGGGATTGGGATTCACCTACCTTGAATTGTTATGTGATTAAATACTTATTCATTATTCATCAGGATTCATGATCATCACTTATCATTACTCACTCATGTGTGATATAGGATGCTTTTATTTATTTAACTATTGGGTATTATTTATTTGGTTTGGATTATCATTTATTCACGCTCAGCGTTGTTAGATTCCTAGGGCTATTTGCCTCTTTTTATAGCAGATTTTGGTTTAGCTGTCTCTTGAGCACAGATTCGTGTAGTATTATCATTAAGATTAAGCGTTTTAGATTTAATCACTGTGAAGATTATTGGATTAGTTTTAACATTTCATAAATTTACTATTATTTATTAATTAAGTTAGTATTATCACCTTTACACATGTGTTAATAGGTTTATATATTCACATATTTATTATATGAGGTTTAGTTTATATATTTATTTATACATGCACCCTTAGCACTGTGTTGTTTCCATCAAACTAAATACATAAAAAAGTGTGATCATTTTCTTACTTTTTTTATGCTGGACATCACCAAGTTTTTTCTGTAAATCAAAGAAAAGGTTACTGCTTTCAATGGTAAATCTAGCTATGCTTAGTAAATGTACAAAGAACACCACAAAGATTAAAGCTAAACAAAAACATGCTTGTGCATCATACACATTACCTGTACTTTTTTTAATTCCCTCTCAATAATTCTCTTTTCTTGTTGTAGCTGTTTAACATTCTTGATATGTTTTGATGTAACCGCTAAAAAAAACAAAAAAAAAACCACAAAAAACTAAGTGATTTCTTCAGATTTTCTTGGCTATCAATTCACACATGGATACTATCATACTCGTATAACGTTTACTGGATATCAATTCACATATCTAGGCAATCTCCATATTATCCTAAATATTGCTAATTAAAACAAAATATACATATTGCAAATGTATCTGTGCAGAGGGTAGGTGACATCAGAGGTGTACAATACCAATGTGGAACAAATCATAAAAAGTAGCTGTGCATAATTCAGAGGGAAACATTCTATTGACCTCAAAGCAGTGCTAACAAGCATTGCCAAAGCAATGAGAATCTTCTCTTCTCTTTTTTACTGTGGCTGGTTAAAGTGGTACTAAAAGGAATGGTGTTATTTTTTTACCTTATTGCATATCGGGTAACGGATCCTGGGATTGGAGCAGAGGGTGCAGGAGG